TCTCCACATTAATCTCCCTCTGGCATGTTACTGCATCTGTTCCCTTTTTTATTATTAATTTTCAAATTCCCACCATTTTTGACAAAAAGGAGGTAATCTACACTCTGCTTCTGCCCATTTCATTTTCTTTAATTTGGAAGACAAGTATGAAAGCATGCCAAAGAAGTTAATTCTCCGTTAACAGTTTATTTTCTGGCATCCCAATGCCTTTGTATATGAAAAACAGATAGAAATAAATGTTGACTGAATCGCAACAACACAGTTGCAACCGTCCCTAAATTTAATGAAAAGTAAACATACGAAGCAAGATCTAAAAAGTTTATTAGTTACCGGAGTTGTTTCGTGTTACCACTCCCCCCTGCATCTTAAAATAATGGTTTTCTGTAAAATTAGCAAATGTAAAAAATAAAATAAAATTGAAATCAATCACTGCTTACATTTCATTTCTGCTTTTCCCCTTTCCCTCCTCCCCAGTATAAGTGCTATTGATCCTTTTGTCAGTCAGCCACTCTGGGAACGTAGAACAGAATCTCAGTCGTTTAATATTAGCAACAACATTTCTTTGACTGTTATCTTCTTTCCAGCAGAGTCAATGGACTCTTTGTGATGTGCTAAAACTGTTGGAGAAAGTGTGCTGCTAACTACCGTCTCCTAGAGAAAAAACTGAAACAACAACAAACACCCAAACGCAACAGATAATATCAGGCATTGTGCAAGTACCTTGCTGACTATGTAGAACTAAATCCTACAAATCAAGAAGTTAATTTCTATTTTAGAATTTAATAGTATAGATTAAATGGGAAATCTGATGCTCAGGTACACATCAATTCTAGCAATTCTAATAAGGAATGCTGGTGACAACACAAAGCAGAACAGCAAAGTTGTGACTAGATAATGCCACAGGAACCTGGATGTGGAATGATAGATTTATGTGCTTTATTTATTATACATGCACTACAATTAGAGTTAATGGTGTTTCTGAAATTAACAAAAGGCTGCTAGGCAGATCTGCGCGTAGTAGGAAGGCACTACTGAAATCCACTTTAGTCCCGAATACCACAGTCTCTGATACACTACTTTCTAGATAACATCTGATTTGTGAAAATGAGGGAGAAAAGAAATATCACATAACTGAAAAGAAGAAAAACGACATCCCCTTGTCCACCTTTATTGTTCAAGGAAGTGGCACAGGCATTCATTTACCCTGACACATCACATTTAACTGAACAGAGAAGCTCAGTTATCTGAGTAAGAAACTTTTCTTCACCTAGTAGCCATTCAGTACTATTTGTAACATTTTCTATATGCAAACAATGATAGTAAATAATAAATAAAAAATCTGCTCCAATTCTATTCAATCACATCTCCCGTTCAATTTTAGATGGCATTACATCCAAGTGTATCTTGAGCCCTCTACCTATGTCCATGTCTGAGAAAACACATGATGACACCGAAAAAGTTCAATTTTGAAATTCTGTGATTCCTCCAACTCTTAAGATTTAACTGTTCTGGCATATGAAAAGAAGAACTACATCTGACAAACCAAAGCAAGTAATAAATTCTGACTTGTTTTGTAACAAAAAGAGGAAAGGCTTTTTAATGATGATTGCATTACACTGGAATAGTGAAAGTTTTTATTAAATTAGATGACATGCTAAAATCTTTGCAAGCTGTTAGGGTCTTGCATCTTTCATGTGATCTCTTCCACTAGCATACCAACATGATTTTTAACAATCACTCTCTCATGAGCCAAGAAAAATAGATCTGTATGTTTTATATGCCTTGAGGAACAGATTCAGATAAGCTTAATCAGCAAGACCCAATCATGTCAAAGTAAGAACTTAAAATTGGCTTTAGAAGTAAATTCAGAAGATTTTTCTACTAAGGAAACTACTGTAAGTAAATACAAAAGTCAAAAGTAGGGTTAACAAAACTACAGAAAAGTTATGCAAGTATGGTCAGATTCATAACACGGTGACATCTACAAAATTACAACTGACAACTGAAACTGCATTCAAAGGTTCCATATTTTCCCAGTTATTTGAAAACATACATGTTAGAATTACTAACTAGATTCAATAGTAGGAAGGCATGTTAATAGCAAAGATTTCTAAGCAACATATTGCTCCAGAAACAAAGGTGACAGGAAAAGGCAAATTTAAACTCTGTGCAATGGTTTAGAATAGCTAATTGTAACCTCTTTCTTGATTTTTTTAACAAGTACATTTTGTTAACTTAGAAGCTGTTTAGCAGTTAATCAATCAACGGGGTTTGAAAACTGGGATGCAAGAAAAGAAGTGGGACTCCTGAACAAGAGTACAGCTCTGCAGAGCACTTTTTTTCTCACTAAGACATAGTTTGTATGCTCTTTCTCATTTAATCCATTCATATGATCTTTACTGTCTCATGTTTGTATCCTAAAATCTAAAGCTCTTGTATTCATTTTATTATTCTATTTATTTACAATATCCAAGCTTAGAATTAGTGGATTAGTAAAGAGCTTTCTTCATTAGTAATTTACTAAGTGATACAAAGCAAAAAATTCTTTCTGTAACTCCTCAGCTATATATAATTTTTGCCAGAACAAAGAATGTTCATGCAAGGCAACAGAAACATCATCCACAACGATATAACAGCAGTACGGGACTCCCTCAAGTTCAGCTTTTAGAGGAGACTTGCAGTTGACCAGCTGGTTCTGTCCTGAAAACAGGGAAATCAGTAAGACGAGGCCAAGGCCAGAATACCCAAGAGATGCACTGAATCAGTGCAATTTCTGTAGCGACCTCCCACAGGGAGGACTCTAGAGCTTAAAATCTGTTTTCCTTGGCAAATGCCAGTGAACAATTCCACAAGCCCCATAGGATTGCGATTTACCACTACCCTTCAAGTGGGTATTATCTCTGGCACAACTGCCCTTTCAGGTGAAGGGAAAAAAGAATGGAGGACAGACTGCAAGTGAATCAAGTCCACATGACAACTATGGATGTACCACACATTAAAAACACACTGGCCTTTACAACACAGAACTGTAATGCCATTCTTGCAAATCTTGACCCTTCACTAGTACAGTAAGCTTGTTCCACTAGAGGTGATCTGAGAAGGAGAGTACAGGCTGAGGAAAAATGCAACTTGAGTTGGGTATCTTTTCCACTGTGACTTGGGGAAAACAGAAGACAGCAAGAAAACATCTCCAACCCTGTGCTACCAATATAGCTATGCAGGGACCAGGTTGTAATAGTTCAGAAGCAATATATATCTCATCCTTCAACCACCACTTGTGACATTAGCATCACCTACTGTATTCCCGGAAAGAAGATAAAGAGAATATTAAAAAAACCTAAGTAGTATTATAGAATTTGATTCAAATATTTTTCCTTCATGTAACTCGATTTCCCAAGCATTAATGTACACATCTTATGATCATATGCCAGCATAGAAACATTTCCATACCTAAAACGTATACTTGCAATCAGAAAACATAATATAAACATGACGTATAAAAAATTATCAAAGATTAGGACATCTCAGAAGAGTGGCCACACTCAGTCAAACAAAGAAGCTGTACTAATTCACTGCCTGTCTCAAAAAGCAGTTAAAAGCAGATGTCTACTAAAGACTGTAAGAACAGGGCCAGCATAGGTCATTACTTGCTCCAAACACTGCTCCCAGGCTCCACTGATTTGCAGCTCACAGAATTCCTGAGTTTGACACCATAGACTGTAAAGATATCTAAGTCATCTGTATGTTACACCTTCCCAGAGGTGCCACACATGTAAAAGCATTAAATAGTGCTGATTTTCACAAGCCATGTACTTCCACAAAAATTCATTGGCTATCAGACTTCCTCCAAGACATCCAGAGTTTTATTGCATATAATCAGCCCTGTGCTAAAAGGAGCGTGGTAAGCCATTTGGTTAACTATCACAACAAATCATTATTAATAAAGTTCTGCTAAATCAAAACTTTAGATATCTTAACAACTCACCCAAAACTTTTTTCAAGTTCATTAACCTCTAGCATATTTTTTCTCTAAATACAGGCTGTTAGAGTGGTACTTTCTTCCATCTGTTAAACTACCGTGCTCTGAATTACACAGAAATGGAGCTGAATAAAAAATTGATTCATTGAATTTAATAGTTTAGATGAAGCTCTATTTTATTTCCATTGACTCAATGGCAGAATTTTCATAAACCCAAAGAGTACAAGACTTGGATGAACATACAGACATTCTGTTAAGTGATAAAAATCTGAGGGTTTTTTCCCCTCCCATGTAAAATTTAAATTAACTCAACTTTTTGATTAAGGACTGAGTAAAAGCCTTCAGATTTCTATCCAGATACTCAGTTTTCAGGTGACAAGAGGGGAGGAGTGAGAAAAAGCCAAACACATACACAACCAAAACCTTCCAACAGTAAGACAATAATGCTGTGTGTGACAAAAGGGAAAAAAAATAAACTCAAGCTGAAATGACTTACTGGCAGGATAATCTTCTGTTATTTTTTAGAAACGTGTAATGAATAACATCACATACCACTGAACAGGTGACTTCAACACCCTCTACACATTCTTGAGTTTCTCTCCTAGGTGTAGACAATAATATTACTGTCTGAATACTGAATATTAGCATAAACTTCACATTGTTAATCTGCAAATTCCTTCGCTTAAGGATGCTGCTGTACATTACAGTCTGAAATGACATTTTAAAGTATTCTTGTCCCACCAAACACAGGAACAAGAAAGTAGCTGCAGGCAGGAAAAAGAGCTGGAAAGGGTACGAGTATGATACCTCACCACTGGAGTTAAACATTGCCTTTGCTTCACACTAGTAATTAATTTTTAGCTGCTTATAGTTCATAACTCAGTCATTCAAGTCTCCACTTTTAATATGTCTGGGGGGCTGCCCATGCAATGACTGCAGCTATCAGCTGTGGGGAAAGCCTGTGGCAAAAACATTAGCAGAATGAAATTGGTACTATAGCATGTAATAGGATAAGGGGTACCTGGTGAGGTGCAGTTGGTGCTCAGATTTACTCAGCAGTTCTGTCAGTTTTAGGCAGTCCTCTCTGGCTCCTGCCACATCCTGCTGGGCTTGTTCCAAACGCTGCTTGTTTCCATTCAGCTCTAATCCCAGTTTTTCTATTTTCTTAGAAAATTGTAGAACCATAGAAAGTTTATTTAAGAAATGCATGGAAAAACATTAGAAGACAGCAAATCTTAATGTGATGAAAACTCCTGAAAATTAACATGTATTTTTGCTTTAGAACAAAAGCAATATGAATATAAAAGCTGCAAAACAAGTAAATTAAAATATTTGACATTATATTCTCATGGAAAGTCAAAATGCATATCATACAAATACCAAAAATGTATTAATACACAATATTACTGCCTTTGCATATTTAAGAGATCCACGTTACAATCATTTTCTTGTTTTCTCATGTGAATGCTTCCATATTTGCATCTGTAACTCACTACATCAGAAAGCCAGAAAGCAGAAGTGACCGTGTTTAGATGCTGCCGGACATAGGATATCTCCTTGTTTACCTAGTCACCTACCCTATCTATTACATACATAACAATGCAGGGGACTCAAGCTCTCGTCATACTCTTAAAATATCAGGTTAAGAGAATAAAGGTATTTTAGTGATTTTGCTGCTATAAAACAAGTTATTTATGACTGAATCTTAAACACTGGTCATGATTAATGCTGTCATATTCTTTACGTTGTAAGTCTCTATATGTCAACTAAACCAAGAAAGTAAACCTGATTTAGGTAATGCGTACATTAATTTATCACACATGCAGGAAAGTTGTATGACCAACATCTTTGATTGCAGTGAAAAACCCTGGACAAACTAATGCCAACTTAATCATAGCATCAACACGTGAAACATTTTTGTAAACATTCTCAGAATAGAGACCATGTATAACATACAAGTACCTGCAGGAATACATTTGAAATATAATGCAACACTTGGTTGTAATGATGTTCTAATGATGGCAATGTAGTACAGAATAACAATATATGTTTTTTAAGGTAGTAGCTATCTTACATAAACTCCCTACATAAATATTAATTCACTGTTGGAGCTAGGGAGAACTTGCATATTTTTAAGTCATCTAAATTGTGAAAGGACATTTGCAGTACAGAATAAAATTGTTCATGTAAGGAGTCAGTGCTGAATAGCTATTATACTTCAATACCATAACTTATTTTGTCATAGATTTCTCATGTAGACAAGCCTTAGTATCTTCTTCAGTTAATTAAATTATTCATTCAAACAACTACAAGAACAAATTAATGTAATTCGGTGCCAATATTTGCACTTGAAGCATCTTTGTAATAATGTTGTCTCTGTTCCTCTTGTGAAAATGTTAACTCAAATCTCTTCCAGTATGTTATGATGTTGCAGATAAACACAATTTCTCCATCCAGGAATAGGTTTCATGATGTTCTTTTTACCAGTCAACAAAGGTTCATGAAGTATGTCTTTTCCAATCTTGGTATTCTGTGATTCTGTGATGCTTTGATTAGAATTTGAATGTCACCTGTATGATATAGGATACCTCCCAAACTAAATCAGTAATTTCAATTTTGAATACAAAGTGAGTGAAAATATTTGCAAGATCGTTAGTCTTCTTCTCCTTCAAAGACTGTAACAACTCATTACACCATTAAGATTTGCTTTAAAAATTTCTTTCAAAAAAAAAAAAAAACCAAAAAAACCACAATAATATGAATTAGTTGAAAAGAATCAATTAAGTACATTTGAGAAAGAATGACCACATTTGTGAACATCAGTACACTTCACCGCCACTCCAACAGGGAAAAGCCTCAGTAGACAGAAGGGCTTTTCACCACTCCCTCGAGTTAAATGACCTCACTCAGCTTTTGACAGAGACCTACAGAAGAAAGCAACTTCAGAGCAGAATAACCCCTGGTGAAAATGTTCTATCAGCCAGACGTTGAACCTTCAGTTCTCAACCCTAAAATTTGTCCACAGCTTTCAGCTGTCATGGATATGCATTCATACTCAAAGAAATGAATTCTCAATCAACAATCCTTAACAGGATCTTTAAGGACTCAAAGGGAGATTATGACTTCCATAAGAAGTAACAGGGAAGCAAACACAGGTTTTCAAGACCAATTTTACTTCCACTCCTTTCATTAATAACTACAACATTCCAAATCAGATGCTTCTTTCCACACACATACAGGGACATATACATGTGTTTGTGTGTATGTACACACAAATATATTTTAAATACCAGCATTTAGATGTCATCACAATGCAAGTGAAGAGAGGAACAGGAATTCTAACCTGCAAGTGGCCACAGCAGAACTAGCAGACAATCTCAGAAGAAAAGGACAGGAGGAAACTACTGTCACCCAAGAGGATGTGCTAACAAGCAAGTCACAAATCAGAGGTGTCTGACCCAGGCATACATTAACTAAATAATTCTTAAGAAACAGTTATTAAAAACAACTTGGTAGAAGCCAAGCATTATTATGTGAAAACTCACAGCCCAGTTCCTGATGCTAGATGTTTCTCCAGTTTAGGAACTCAGACAATGGCTTGAAAAACACAAAGCCTCTGAACCCGAGATCTCTTCATACATCAATAAAAACAAAACTTTCCCTCTCCCGCAAATAATGTCAGACTCAAAAATGCATAACTCCATATAGAAATATCACAAGTCAAGTTCATCACAATGTAATCAGAATTCAAAACACAGAAAAACTCCATAATCAATGAGTTTTCTTCACTGTACCTCCTAGGAACCTTTCCAAAACTAGTCAGATACAGGCTAGTTTTTGTGTTACTTTTAGTACTTATTTTTTCTACTGGCAAGCTGCAAGCAGTTCTGTAGCTGCTATCCAGGCCTTAGCATAACTGTAGGGAGAAGCAGGACCAAACCACCGACTGAAGTATTTTAGTGACAACTCCACTTCTCATGCAGCATTAATTTGATCCCTCAGAGCCTATCACTTACAATGCAGCTTTTTACATGATCAGATAGTATTTCTTCAAAATAGTTAACTTTTGAATGTACGTGAGAGACAAGAGATGGAGTACAGAATTGAGAAGAGACAGATGACAATCTTGAGTATAAGAAAATCTGAAACAGATTTTCAGTATAACAAGAAACAGAATTATCATAACGTATACGTACAACAAGACTACATTAAGCTTGGAACATTGCAGCAGGCAACTTCTGGTGCCTAACTCCCCAACTTTAATAATCTTATTACTTTTGCACATAATTTTAAAAGTATTATTTGATCTGTTTTGCACTGCCTAAACTTTTAGAAGTATGATAAAGGCACTCTGCCATTGAAAGATGGCAGCCTGAACCTCAGCAAGAGAAACAACAGTAGTAAGTAGTAAGAGGAGCACATTAACACCACTCTGCATCCCTCTCCAATTCAGTTGAAAGAAGGAAGTTTTATTTAACAATAATTAACACACTGATGAAATAACACCACAGTAAAAATTTTTACACATACCCATATATATATTTTTTCAGTATCTGAGCTATTTTATGTTTGCAGCATGTAGTACTTTCTTGAAACAGTTGGAATTCTAAGCATTCCTCTTCTCATTCATTAGTTCATGAGGTGTTTACAAACTGTCTTCTGATTTTCACAATGCATTTTAGGATAGCACTGGAGATGCTCTTTCAGTGACATTAATACATCTTACTAAAAAGGCAATAAAGGAGAATTTCTCAAACACTGGATAAATCTTCGTATATTCTCCCCATTAATAATCTGAAATTATCTGCACCTATGAATACTCATGTATTTGTAAAAACGTATTTTTTAATTAACTAGACATCTCTTTAACTCCACAGAGTGATAAAATTAAATAATGAAGTAATTTGATTGAAAACAAGCCAAATTGAAGATTTAAATAATTGCTTAATTCTTTTCGTACTGATGCTGATTCTATTGTATGCAGAAAAATGGAACTTAAAATTCTAAACCAGCAGATGTTTTTCCACAGAATTTTAAATAGCAGCAAAGCTGACACAAAAGACAAATGCTGTTTTTTATATTAAATAAATGAGAATGATTAAACTGTGGTAAAAACTCATGCTCTATTAAAATGTAAAAACAACTTGAGAAGCCTTTTAGCAAATAAAAAATATATTAAAACCAAGTGAGCTAATAATTGATTTATGACATTCACTGTTATGCCAGTATTCTTACGTACCAGGTATGAAATCACACAGTATAACCTAAAAAAAAAAAATCAATTCTGCACTAACTATGCCATAGCACAAATTCTGCAGCACTGTAATTTTGGAGGGAAAGATATTTCCACAAATTTGCAGTACTTTCTTTTCTTTGTTTCCTATTTCACTCCCTTCATTTTAACACATTAAAAGACATAAAATAGAACCAAGAAATAGAAGAATGAAGACACAGTAACAGAAAGTGAAATATAAATACTATGGTTGTCAGCATTTGCACCAAAAGGCAATCAACAACCACAAAATCAAATATGTTTCAAATTAATATATAGTAAAACTTTACAGGCCCTGAAGCTCCCATGTTCTGTTTCACTTACTAAAACAGCTTTTCAACACAATGAAATTAGCGTATAGGAGTAAGGCTAAAATTAAGCTCCTTTTAAGAGGTACCATCAGTATTGTAATTCAAGTGCACTTAACCATTCTATATGACAGCAACAAGGAATTTCTGCATTGTTTAGAACTTATCTCAACCAATGTTGCCTTCTTTACTTATTTATATACAAATTAATCAAAAACAGAATTATCTCACACAGTTTCTTTTTCTCTTTTTTAAGTTACAAGAAAGAGCAAACTTTTTGCAGCAAGATTCCAAGGTATTTTACTTGGAGAAAACTAGCAGCCCATATTCAGCAGGGGTCACTTGCAGTCATTTCTATCCTAATCTTGATATCAATCAAGCAAAACTACGTTCTGATCAGTCCCTAAACCTCAGACCTCCCAGGCATGGCCATCTGACACAGCATATTGCACCTGAAGAGCTATCCAACTTCATAACGTGACTTAGGGCCATCACAAGGTTAACCTCCACTAGGTCCCAACACTGTTTTTCTCCCTTTTGAATCCTATGTGAATTACTGCTGTTTCCTATTTAAATCTGCTTTA